TGAAATCTTCTGTTCAGTTCTTTTACTTCATCATTTTTTCCTTTTACTTTAGCTACTTGACATTCAAGAGCAAGTTTCAGAGTCTCTTCTGACATCCATTTTGGTCTTTTCTTTCTTTCCTGTCTTTTTAATGACCTCTCACTTTCTTCATGTATGATGTCCTTGATGTCATTCCACAACTCATCTGGTCTTCGGTCATTATTCTTGAGATGGTCTCTAAATTCAGGTGGGATATACTCAAGGTTGTACTTTGGCTCTCGTGGACTTGTTCTAATTTTCTTCAGTTTCAACTTGAACTTGCATATGAGCAACTGATGGTCTGTTCCACAGTCGGCCCTTGGCCTTGTTCTGACTGATGATATTGAGCTTTTCCATCATCTCTTTCACAGATGTAGTTGGTTTGATTCTTGTGTATTTCATCTGGCGAGTTCCATGAGTATAGTCGCCGTTTATGTTGGTGAAAAAAGGTATTTGCAATGAAGAAGTCATTGATCTTGCAAAATTCTATCATGCAATCTCTGGCATCATTTCTATCACCAAGGCCACATTTTCCAAGTACTGATCCTTCTTCTTTGTTTCCAACTTTCACATTCCAATCACTAGTAATTATCAATGCATCCTTATCGCATGTTTGATCAATTTCAGACTGCAGAAGTTGGTCAAAATCTTCAATTTCTTCATCTTTGGCCTCAGTGATTGGTGCGTAAATTTGAATAATAGTCGTATTAACTAGCCTTCCTTGTAGGCGTATGGATATTATCCTGTCACTGATAGCGTTGTACTTTAGGATAGATCTTGAAATGTTCTTTTCGACTGTGAATGCAATGCCATTCTTCTTCAACTTGTCACTCCTGGCACAGTATACCATATGTTTGATTCAAAACGGCCAGTACCAGTCCATTTCAGCTCACTAATGCCTAGGATATCGACCTTTACGTGTTCCATTTTATTTTTGACAATTTTCAATTTTCTTAGATTATTAATCCATGTCCCGATTATTAACAGATGTTTGCAGCTATTTCTTCTCATTTTGAGTAGTGCCACCGCAGCAAACAAAGATCTCGAAACCTTGACTCCATCCACATCATTAAGGTCAACTCTACTTTGAGAAGGCAGCTCTTCTGCAGTCTTATTTTGAATGCCTTCCAACCTGAGAGGCTCATCTTCTGGCACTGTATCAGACAATGTTCCACTGCTATTCATAAGCTTTTCACTGGCCATTTTTTTTTAGAAGCAGATCGCCAGGTCCTTCTTCCTAGCCTGTCTTAGTCTGGAAGCTCCACTGAAACCTGTCCACCATAGGTGACCCTGCTGGTATTTGAAATACCAATGGCACAGCTTCCAGCATCACAGCAACATGCAAGTCACCACCGTACGACAAAATGACAGACGACTGTTGGTCATTTTTTTTAAATGTTAGCAATTTGACCAAGACATTTTATCAGTCTCGAATTATTTAAATTAAAATACTTCAAATTTTATATACAAGTATTTTTTTTATCTCTCCACTTCCGGATAATTAATAAATTAGTAGAATATGTTTATATTGACTCTCCCTGATTCTGAATTGATTACTTAGAAAATGATTAGTGTCCTAATTAGGAAATGCCAACACAGACAGTAGCGTTTGTTGCATGCAAATGCTAATCAATTTCAGCAATCAACTAAATGCCAGATTAACTACAAGACAGAAAATAAAGGACACCAGACCATCAAACAATACTGAACACATCCTATGTATTCAACACTATGCTAGTGGCTGAAGAATCCAATGACTAGACATTCATAATGCCAGCAAACCAGTTGCTGTCAAGTTCATTCTGACTCATGGCAACCCCGTGTTTGTCAGAGTAGAACTGTCCTCCACAGAGTTTTCAATCGCTGATTTTTTATAAGGAGAACACCAGGCCTTTCTTCCAAGGCACCTTTGGGTGGACTGGAACCTCCAACCTTTCGGTTAGCAACCCAGTGGGTTAATGGCACCACCCAGGGATTCTTATAATGCTAGCAAGAGGGATAATGTTTATATGAAAGATAGTGAGCATGGGGCATGAGTTTCACTTCCCTTGTTTGTCCCTTAAGATCAGGGGATGCTTCAATAGAAGTTTTTCACCTTTATGAATTCCTTTTTAGTAATGAATACTTATTTTTAGGGTTGAGGCAAAGGGGTGAGTCAAATCAAAGATTACCGGAAATAAATATAAACTGATATTCTCTTTCCTTTCTACTCTCAAAGTTGTGGTTATATATAATTAATTGTGAAGTAAACAAATTATAGGCATGAATCAGATTTATGAAGTTAATTACAATCATTTTATCTTAAATTTTTACAACATGGATGCCTACATCTGAAGAAGGTTACAGTAGTGGGTGACTGAAAGACCGACTGACTTGTAACTGACGGTCCTTTCCATCTTAAACACAGGGGAAGTATTCTTTGATGTATGGCTACTATTTGTGGCCTGTTACTATTTCTGATCCTGACTCTTAGGTTCATTGCCTTTCCTCAGAAAGAGTCACCCAGGAGTTTAAATTACACTTCTGCTTGACGTTTTATAGAAGGTACTTATTACACATTCACAGTTTAGTTAAGGCCATTGCTCCTGTTAGTATAATCAAGAATATAACTAAAGAAAGGTCTATCATAATCTTCTTAACTGTTGCCCATTGTATTGATGTCACATTTAAATAAAAACCCCTTCAATAGCTCAACTCATCTATGGATATATTACTTAGTCCCCACTCTAAGAGGCTTTTAAAAGAGCAAATCATAATACAAAATTTTAAACATCTTAAACTTGTTAAAATGACTTAACCACATCATAACAAATTAACTAAAACGCACAGCAATAATAAATTTGCTTGAGTCCGTATACTCCTTAATTATAACGAATAACCTTTAAAATAGTTAATCATTTTATTTTTCCTAGTGTTTATTCTCTTACAATTGTTACTTTCGTATTATTTGGTTTTAAAATGGCACTAACACATTTAAGCCAATATGATATTTGCTTTTGAGAACAAAAAATTCGTGATGTCAGCTGTTGACAATATTTTAATCTTTTTTTTTCATTAAAAAAATATGGAATTGTATACAAACAAAACCAAACCAAACCAGCTGCCGTCAAGTCGATTCCAACTCACAGTGACCCTATAGGACAAAGTAGAACTGCCCTATAGCATTTCCAAGGAGCAGCTAGTGGATTTGAACTGCCGACCTTCTTGGTTAGAAGCGAACCCTTAACCACTACAGACCTTAAAGGATCAAAATAAATTAGGACACCAAAGCAAAATTTAAACTGGCAAATCACTTTGACCAAAAAAAGTATCACAAAGCTTCCTGCCTTAGGGATCCAACTAGACCATGCTATTATGCTTATAAAAGAAACAATAAATGAAACTAAATCATAGTGAAACAACTAATTTACAGATGCCTTCTTTCTAGGGCTGGTTTCCAGTCACATTATCTCACTGGACCTCTTCACAGGATAATGGCACTTGTTTCCCTGAGGTGTTAAATGCACCCTTCTCTCTTCCTCTTTGCCCTATTTGTACATTTGACAGAAAAACAAGTCCCTTTCCCAACGAGGCTAGCTTTGCCACAAAGCAAGCAAAGAAAACAAATAGTGCACATGGCAACTTCCAAGCACTTCGCAGTGAGAGAAAGCACAACTCTCCAACTTTGATGTGCTTTCATAAACACATCCCTCACTCATATTATGAAAAAGTGCTCAGTCTGGAATTAAAATGGTCCTGTGAGCGTAATTCACACCAGAAATTCCACCGACGCGGTAAAGTTGCCGTCGTCTGCAAGACCCCTGCAGCTGAGAGGGCGGGACTCCGAACGAAGGAAGCAATGCTGGGGTTGGCTACCCTCAGTACCGTCAAGACAGAAGTCCACACACCTAGTGTTTGTGTGTGGGGTGGCTTGCTCCGACCTCTCCCCATGTCCCGCCTTCGAATCTTCCTCTCTTCACCTCACACACCCCC